GTTCTTTTTGTTCTGTCATTTTTTAAAATCTTGTGTCCTTACTCTCTGAGCAAGAATTGCTCATTCATGTCAGGAGAAGACTCAGTGGGAGAACTGTTGGGAGGACTCAGTGGGAAGACTCAGTGGAAGGACTCCTGTTGGGAGGCCTCAGTGGGAGGACTCCTAGTTGGGAGGACTTTTGTGGGAGGACTCCTAGTTGGGAGGATTCCTTTGGTAGGACTCCTGTTGGGAGGATTCCTTGTTGGAGTCCATACATGTTTGATGAGCTTGTTTAGGTCACGATAGGAGATCCCCAAAAATAAAATAATATGCCCATGACACCACCCCATACAAGACCTTTCTGATGAGGTATGAATCATGTCTACTACGTCAGTTGGTTAGACAGACACATTTCGATTTTATTAGTATAATGTATCTCTATCACTACTTTGTTCCAGAATACCTTGCATATCTTTTGGGGAGCTTAAAGCATTTTTTAATATTTTTTTAATGTAAGGTAACATCAAAAATGTCATAAAAACACCAGTTCTTTCATTGTTTCTGTTTCCCACTAACTATCACATAAGTGTATCTCACTATCTCTTACTTGTTGTTTCTCTCTCTCTCTGCCCCTCCCTCATTCCCTCTCCTTAAGTCTTAGTCTTAATCATATAACTGTTGTCTCATTCTTTATGAGTCACAACCAACCACTGTTCTCCTACCCTGCTCAGGTTTTCACTCTAACTGTGTGAAGTGCAGTGAAACCATTACTCTTGTGAAAGATGCTATAACAGTGCAAGGCATTATTGTGCAAGGTATATGCACAACTCTCAACTCATTTCAACTCTCTCTCCCACTCGCACCCTAACCTCTCGCATCCATGGTCTCCTACGCTGTTCCAATGAGCCACAGCGCAAGCTCGAGGAACAGCACCTCATTTATCTGCTAGGGACCTTAGACCCTCTGGTTTCAATATTGATTTCAACAATTTCAGACCATAATCACTTTTGCCCTCCCCCTCTTCTGGGAACCATTACCACATCACCTGTGTCCTAGACACACCTTTTCTCTCTCTGGTCTGCCTATTTTGTTGCAATTTCTCACCCCCCCTACCTTTGTTTTGGATTATTAACAGCCCTGTTCTCTACCCCATTTTCTCCTTTGTCTTCCTTGCTCTGCCTCCTGTTAGCCTCTGTTAGCCCTGAAAAGCCTCTCCCTCCCAAATGCCCCAGTTCTGTCAAAGCATCGTGGTCCCGAAATGTTGACTCATTCCCTTTCTCCGGAGTCCTGTAGCTCAGTGGTTAGAGCACTCGCCTTGCAAGCGAGACACCTGGGTTCACTTCCTGGCTGGGCGAAACCTTGGACAAGTTTCCTTACTCCACACAGAGCCTAATAATAATCCCTCTAAAAACAAAAACAATAATAAATTGGTCATTTTTAATCCACGACTGTTTGTGGGACATTGCTGTGCGCAATTGGCTGCTGCGTTCGCCCACAAATATACAGTCAATTCACTTTACAGCATATTCTGTGAAGTGCTTTGAGACGTCTAGAAGATATGAAAAGTGCTATATGAAATGCAAGGATTATTATTTATTATTATAGATGCTGCCTGACCTGCTGAGTGTTCCCAGCGATTTCTGATTTTGTTTCATATTTCCAGCAATTGCAATATTTTGCGTTTTTTTACATAAGTATATGATACTCTGTTCATCCATCTGCTTACTACAAGTGCCAGACGGCAGCTTCCGGTCCCATGAAACATTCTGTGAGTTGCATTGAAAGCATACGATAGGACTGAGTTACCTTGCTTCCCTAATTGAATGAGGAGTTTGAATGTAAAGAAGGTGTGACGTGTGAAGTCAGCCTGGCGCAGTGGTCACACTCTCGCCTCTTGAGTCAGATGGACATTAAAGATCCCACTGCACAATTTTAAAAGAGAAGGGAGTTTCTCATGACAAACTCCCAAATAAAATTGGTCATTCACTTCATGGCTGTTTGTAGGATAATTGCTGTGTTCAGATTGGCTGCTGCATTCACCTTCAAATACACTCATTGTACTTCAAAGTAATATCCTGAAAACCCTTTGAGATATCTCAATGATGTGATAAGGCGCTAAATTAAATGGAAGGATTATTATTATTTGATATAAGTTGTTGCTTGATTTAGCTGTTCGGTTTTGTTGCAATATTAGGCTTTTTACTCTTGATAAGCAATAACCCCATAAGAAAATGCACTTTGCTTGGAAAAAAATATTGCTGATTAGTTTTCACTGAAGTACTCCTGCGCTATATATACACAAGTTTTTTTCCATAACATTTAGCTCTCCTGGATCAAGGAACAGGTGGAATAGTTGCTTAAAGCATCGGAACAACTGGAATACTTGTTAAATGTTTCAGAGCAGCAACAGGATATGAGGTTATATAGACTATCACGTATTTCTCTCGCTCGCTCTCTGTGATGGTAATGAACAAGGCTCTACACCCACAGATGTTTCCACGCTGTTTTTGTTCTCCTGTGGAGTCTTCTCAGTTCAGCCCGGTGCACAGACTGTGTAAGGCCTGTCAGTTGGAACCTATCAGTTTCCACCCCATGCAATTTTGGACAGCTTTGATTCAAGAGAGAGATCAGAGTTACATTTGTAGTGGGGTTTGAGTTGGTTGGATTTCCTGAATAAGTAACATGTTGACTGTTGCGATAGCAGCGCAAATAGGACACATTTGGATCTGTAACTGAATATGGTAAGTGATGAAATACTAAATGCTGTTGTCCAATTGTTAATTTCAGTCAAGTTCAGTTTATTGCAATCGAGAAGGTGATATTCGCAGGCAGGAGAGCGCAGAAGATGTAAGCTGAATGAATCTAATACTATTCTGGCATAAAATAGCAATTGTTCAATCAGTAGTGCTTGTTGACCATATTTTGTCAAGATATTGATTCATGTTGAGCAATGGTGTATCGGAACTGTGAACAGTTTCAGGAAATGAAGACCAGCCACAAATTGGGAAATCTCAAGTCTGTCAACCAGATGCTACACTGTAGCTTACCCAACATGAAAGGCACTATACAAATGTAATTTTGTTGTTGTTAGTGGTTAGAGATGGATTTTTGGATGAGCAGCCTGAGAAAACCCAACTTACTGAGCCAGGCTGACATCTTTTTTTCAGAACAAAAACATTTCAAAATGATATGAAAAAGTTAATACTTAATAATATAATATTCATTGCATTTGATATCAGCCTTACCACAACATTGAGACTTCTCAAAGCACTTCACAAGACGTACTGTCAAATGATGTCACTGTGTGTATTTTGTGAGCGAGTTTTAAGGAAGAAACATGAAACTATTCAAAACTTGAATTTCCTGGTGCAGAAGCATCTAATTCTTAATACTCACATACATATTACAGCAACAATAACATTTCTTGCAGGAAGCATCTCAGAACATCCTTCACACAATTAGTAAAACTTCTCTTTCTCAGATTTTTTAACTTGCTCTGTATTTCTGTCCTCATGTTTCTTATAGCAAATGTGAATGAACAAGATTTTCCTTAATGTGAATGTCTCTGTATAAATTTAAATTGTTGCTGACGGAAACAAAAATTTAAAAACAACTGCAGGAAATTATCAAAGCGCAGAGACAAATATGGAGCAATATGTGTGGTGCACCACCCAAGGCCAATACCAAGATAGAATTATGGAAAGCTTACAGCACAAACAAAGCCAAATACAGAGCAAGTTAAAACGTGTGAGAAAGAGACGTTTTACTAATTGTGTGAAGGATGTCCTGAGCGCCTTTTGAGCGCCTTTCACGTCGGGAGGACGTCCCAAGGTGCTGTACAGTTGGGTCAGGACCCGAGCAAGGGGGAAATGGTCAGGGTGAGGGGAGGGAAGGGAGGGAGCGAGGAGGGGGGAAATGGTCAGGGTGAGGGGAGGGAAGGGAGGGAGCGAGGAGGGGGTAGAGAGTCGAGAGGGGAGCTGAAGGCACAGTCAAAGAGAAAGGTCTTGAGACCGGCCTTGAAGGAGGAAAGGGAGGAGGTAAGGCGAAGGCACTGGGGGATAGAGTTCCAGAGCCAACTCCAGAAACACCTTAAACAAGTAAGCTAGACAGATCAAATGTCTCAAAAAATGAATTTAATAAGCTATTTTACACCTGTCCAAAGTACTGAACCTGTGCTTCACACAACTTATGAAAATTCCTAAAATGTGACCCTTCAAGCATATATATATATAATATATGTGGGTGTGGAGTGACTGATTCTTTGTCATGTATTGTCAGAAAATCCAGTGTTAAGCACTCTGGGACATCAGCCAATGTGAAAGGCACTATATAATGCAAAATTGTATTGTACATTGAGGAGGTTGCAATACCAATGTTGCGAGAAGCCGTGCTCTCTTTCTGGGATCATACTGACATTGACTTAGCTTTGACCATTCAGGCATCTTTGTCATATTCGGTATCTTGAACATTTTTCGCTCATTCCTTGACTCCAGCAGGACACTTTGCAAATTCACTGGTTGGCTAGAATCAGTGACCATCTGACAACAGTGAGAACATATCTGAAAATAATAAAAGCCAAACCCATTTGTTTAACACTACATTATGCTTGTGCAAGCCCAGGATTGATTATCAAACACTGAACTTCTGAGTTGGAATGTAATAGTTTAGTGTTACTAGGTTTGATTGAGACTCTGCATTTCAATCTCTTTGCTGCTTTAATACCTCAAACATTGGATGCAGTCAACAGCATTTGATATCTAGCAATCAATGCACATTTCTTACTCCACCCAGCCCTAGGAGCAAAACAGCTATTTGTATTTGTTCATCTCAATATACACATATGTTTATAATTCCCTATGTTCCCCACCAGAAATGACCCAAGAGGTGTACTCTTGTCTGAATCAATTTTAATTATCCAACTGCTGTTGTGATATCTGCAGACAGTGCTCTTGTCAGTATAAAATACAATTTAATTATAAAGACATTTACCAAGTATCTAACACCCTATTTTTCTCACACAGGAAATGACTATGTGGTTCCTCTACCAGCTGGTGTTTGCTTTCATGCTGGGGTCAACAAGAGCTGGTGAGTGAAATTCTGCTGTGTTTCACAATGAAGGTACACCTTCTTTGAATAGATGGTAAACGGCCTGTGTTCAGAAACGGCCTCCCTCATGTGTAAATTTAGTGAGAGGTTGAACACTGAGATTAGGCTGTGCTGGTTTGACTATTAATCCTAAAAGTCATGAACTACGTGAAATGATTCTTCTAATGATATTAGATTTATGGTTATGATACTGTTAAAAATAACTTTGCACATTATCCATTTAGGTTTCTCTCAATTATGTATCTGTTTGCCCCATATCAGTTAAACATCTTATCTGAATGACTTTATTGGAGTTTTGGCCTAGAAAGTGAGTTCAAAGACCAACATGGTGCTTGAACCCACAATGCTAGAGCCCAGAGTGCTTCCAACCGACTCCAATATACGTGGGATCAACGGCAATTTTTGTGTTGGTCGCCTGTGTGATTGACGCATGTGGAAACCCATTCCCGTGCTTAAGAGTATCCAAGCTAGACTGAGAGTTCCATGCATGATACCTGAAGGGATGCATCCTGCTTATCCAGTTCCAGAGAATAGCTTGCCATTGAGGGCATCACCTGGCAAGCTTCCTGCTGCTTGTCCAGCCAGGACCACCCTACTCAATAGGGCTTTGGCTTGCAGGGTTGATGGGAGCTGAATGGGAATAATCCCTGCCCCCAGTGAACATCAATGTGAGCTGCCATACAAGAATCCTATATTATTAACTGTCGAACAAATGTGCGCAAATATGTGTGCACATCTTTATTCAGTTTCTCAATTCTGTTTAACCACAAAATACTGTCACTTTACCACAGTATATCCTGTGAAGCACTTTGAGATATCTAAACAATCTGATAAGGATCTAAAAAAAAGCAAAGATTGTTATTATTATCATGGGTCAGTTTGATCTGGTACTTTCAATTGGTTGCACTCTCGCCATTTACTCTCCCAATGTAAAATGCGTAATACCGAATGAAAGATGGTTTTAATTTCTGTGGTCCTCCCTTATTTAGCGGTGAAAGTGATGGTGTTTGTGAACGTTGCAGCACTCACATTTCTTAATAATAATAATAATACTCCTCGGTGGTGTATTTGTGTGTGCTCTTATATTTCTAGCATTTCTAGTTATTCCTTTTTATGTGGAATCATTGGAATGGAGCATCTTTGGTAACAGAGTCGTGTTTCTTTCTATTTTATTTAGAGTCTTCTCAATTTCCATGCAATCCGACCAAAGCAGAAACAACATGCAACGAATGCATCAATTCAGGACCCGGATGTGCCTGGTGTAAGCAAATGGTAAGACTCGGTTAGTCATTGTGTTTACAGGAACAATTCATAATGGTACAGTCAACCACATCTGAGAATGGAATATGCTGGTTTACAGATGGGGCTAAAGGAGATGGTATTGGAGACTGGCTACAAGCTATATGATTGGGGATGTCATCCGCAGACATGGGGTACACTTCCACATGTATGAAGACGACACCCAACTCTATTTTTCCACCTCTCTTTGCGATCCCCAGTCCCCTGTTGTTCTGTCAGCCTGCCTGTCAGATCTCAGGGGCTGGATGAGCGCAAATTTCCTTCAGCTGAACGTTGACAAAACAGAAGCCATACTCTTTGGCTCTCGTCAACGTCTAAAATCTCATGGCTCTCACCTCCTCCACCTACCCGACCTCCCACTAAAACTCTCCGAACCCGTACGCAACCTAGGCATCAGGTTCGACCCCCAATTATCCTTCCTCCCCCACATCCAGTCCCTCACCAGCACCGCTTTCTTCCACCTCCGACACATCGGCCGTCTCCACCAATATCTCTCCCCAAAAGCCGCTGAAACCCTGGTCCATGCCTTTGTCACCTCTCGGCTGGACTACTCTAATGCCCTTCTCCCATCCACTACTATCCATAAAATTCAGATCATTCAAAACTCTGCCGCCCGCATTCTCACCCGCACAAAACTCCATTCCCCGATCACCCCTGTTCTTGCCAGACTGAACTGGCTGCCTATCCCAGAGAGGATTGATTTCAAGATCCTCACCCTTGTTTTCAAGTCCCTGCACTCCTCTGCACCCCCCCTACCTCTCTGACCTCCTCTCTCCTCAAAACAATACACGTTGCCTTTGTTCCTCCGGGTCTGGCCTCCTCCTCATCCCCCGAGTCCTCCGCTCCACCCTCGGTGGCCGTGCCTTCAGCCACTATGCCCCGAGGCTCTGAAACTCTCTTCCTCACTCCCTTCGCCTCGCTCCCTCCCTTCCTATTTGCAGGTCTCTGCTGAAGACCTTTCTTTTCGACCACGCCTTTGGTCATCTTCCTCCCCCTCCCCCTGGCTCGGTCCCGGGATCCATTACTGTGAAGCGCTCTGAGACGCTGTCCGGTGTGGAGGGTGCTATATAAATCCAAGTTGTTCTTGCTGTTTGAAATCACAATGTTGTGGTACCTATTGTTTCAATTGTATTGTTGATGGAAAAGCCAACATTTTGAGAAGAGGACAGAAGAAGGAGGTGGTTCTTGAAAATAGTCCAGTCTGTTTGGCAGTATGAGGTTGTAATGCCTGTGATAGCTAACTGACCCATGCTGACACGAACTGATATACGTGAGATGTTGAAACTGCATGCCATATAGATGTTACACATATCAACTCAGTGACAAATACTTTCACGGATGCAGGCATGAGCCTCCACCCTTATCTAATCCTGCATTCCCTGCCCCTCCGCATTGGTAGTCAAGCCTTCAGCACCTACACCCTAACCTCTGTAACGCCCACAAATATACGGTCAATTCACTTTACAGTATATTCTGTGAAGTGCTTTGAGACGTGTAGAAGACGTGAAAAGTGCTATATCAAATGCAAGAATTATTATTATTATTATTAACTCTCTCTCTACTCCTTCAACTTCACCCTCTAACAAATTCTGCCTAAAAAAACTAACTCTCCCTACAAGTTTCTGGCCTGCAGGCCGCTAGCTGATCACTTGATGTCACTGTGGGCAGTACGGCTCCAGACACACGCCATGCGGTGCAAGCGGCAAATGGGCTTCACTTGGAGCCCCCACTGTTGTGATTGTCTGTGTATTTGTGTGATTGTGAGTGTCTGTGTGTGTCTCTATGTGTTTGTCAGTGTCTGTGTGAGTGTCTCTCTCCATGTGTGCGAGTGTGTGTCTCTCTCCTTTGTATGTGTGTGTGTTTCTGATTGTGTGAATGTGTATGCATGCCTCTCCTCTGTCTGTGTGTGTGTACATCTCTGTACCTATGAGTGTGTGTGTGTATCTCTCTGTGAGAACGTGTGTCTCTCTGTGACTGTGTAAGTGTCTCTCTGGGGCTCTGGGGCTGTATGCAGTGCTGGCCCTGGGAGGCAGGAGGTGGTGACCTCCTGTAGCCTCGCTGACGTCCCCTCCCCACCCATCCCCACAAAATAAGGGCCACCCAGTTTATGTTAACAAAGTAATTAATTTTTTTTGCAACAATCTAATATGTGTTGATTACTTATGTTTAGCTTTTATCAATAAAGTGGAAAAATGTACGTTGGCAATAAAATGTACCTCAATACCACCAATCAACCCCCCACAATTTGCTAATCTCTCCGCAATTTTGGGCACATATTTCCGCACTTTTCCATTGGCCCAACTCATGGATATATCAAATTGCATGCCATGTAGACATTTACACATATCAACTTGATGACAAATACTTTCACGAACGCGATGAAAAGAATCTCCTGTAATAGCTGTACACTCTCTATGAATATTGTCTTTTAAAAAAAGAACATAATTAATAATTAAAAACTCTATGAGTAAGGACTTCTGATTCATCCTGTATACATGCATTGTTCCTTGTATGTATTTACACCAACACAATGACGTTTCTTCCTCAAACACTGGAGGTTGTTCCCATTAATGTGCATTTTACTAAGAAAGTTACAGCCGTTGTAGACTTCCATTCACTGTGTTTCTCTTCTTGCAGAATTTCAGCAAGGAAGGAGAGACGAGTTCATCACGATGTGACTCACTAAGCAACCTAATAGCGAGAAAGTGCAAGAGACAGGACATAATCAACCCCCAAAGTGAACTTTCCGAAATAGTGAATGATCCATTTCAGATTCGTAAGGACAATGTGATTCAGATAAAGCCTCAGAAAATCCGCCTTGCTCTTCGACGAGGTGAGTACCCGAGTTGCTTTTTTTCTACATGCTTTTGAAAATACTTGAGATTCAAGGACATAGAACACTGAACAAAGATGATAGAGAGCAGAAAACAAAGATGATAGGGAGCAGAGAGCAAAGATGATAGGGAGCAGAGAACTCTTCACACTCTGGGATGCAAGAATACAAGGAACAAAGGGATGATGAAAAGCTCATTCTGGGGTGCAAAGGTCTGACTTTAGTTGTGTCCTTTTGTTGTTTATGCTGTTAAAACAAAGTGTAATATTGTGAAACATGCTGATGGTATCAAGTTAAGAGGCCAGGTGACCAGGTAGGGAAGATTAAAGCTTTCAAAGGGATCTAGACAAATTAAGTCAACACCCAAGGAATGGCTATAACAAAATGAAAAGCACTAAATCAATTGCAATCAAAATACAAAACAAGATCATATAATGAGGTATTTTGATACCTGAGTAGCATTGAGACACCTTTTGAAGATTCACTTTCTCACAGCTGTACATTAAATGTGTTGCTAGGCAGGATGTATAAGAGATAAAACCAGAAGGAAACTGTTGAAATTTTTTTTGTAAACCATTAACAAACAATACCATATATTTCAGGCCTTCCCAAGGAGATAGCGTTCAAATTTAAGCGTGCGGAAGGTTACCCTATCGACCTGTACTATCTTATGGACCTCTCCTACTCCATGAAAGATGATTTGGAAAAAGTGAAGAGTCTGGGGAAACAGCTTCTTGATGCACTGACTAGTGTCACAAAGTCCATTCAGATAGGTGAGATCATTTTGCTTATTGTACATTATTGAAACCAATGACTTGTGGAGGCCATACCGTTCAATAATCAGGGTATGACTTGGTCAAATCATTCTCTTACTCTGGGATAGCTGGGTGTACTACTACCTTGCTTTGGATAAAATCCTGCTTACTTAAATGCCATGTATAGTACAAGCAGTTATTTTACAAAAGGAAGTGCTGGTTATTCATTAGTTTTAATAGGGAAGAAGGCACTTTCAAGGCGTTGAATAGTAGGCACCAATGATCACGTCTTTACTTTTCTCTTATCTTTCCTAGTTCATGAAACTGAGTCCAAGTCCAACTGGTTTTGTACTAAAATACCACCATCTGTGTAAACATGGGGATAAGTTGCAGGTCATTATAGAAGTTCTTAATTAATACCATGTGACTTTGAATATCCCAATTCATCACCAATGTATAAGAACCATTAATATTGTCTTTCAATCACAAAATATAATTCAGATATTGTTTGGGTTATTGCTGGATCTGTTTCTTTCTCAAAACAGTTTAAAAAAATTGAACTAACATGAATGATAAATAAAACCCATTCTAGTATCGTCTTATGTTAATCTAACGCATTCTGACACGTCTTTCTTCTGCAGGTTTTGGTTCCTTTGTAGATAAGACTGTGCTGCCATTTGTAAATACAAACAAGGAAAAAATGAAGAATCCGTGTCCTACTAAATCTCAGAAATGTCAACCTCCGTTTGATTTTAAGCATGTCCTCAAACTAACAAACAATGCGGACACCTTCAATACGGAGGTTCAAAAGCAACACATTTCTGGAAATCTGGATCCTCCAGAGGCAGGCTTGGATGCCATGATGCAGGCAGCAGTGTGTGGGGTAAGGCTAGTGCTAACCTGGATGTCAGCTGTCTTTTAGCGTGAGTCGTCAGCTATGGAAGCCGAGCACACTGTGCTTCCAGGAGAGTGGGTCCATTGGACACCAGGGCTATCAGCAAAACTACATTAAAATGGGGGAGGGAGTCATTGTTATAGAGTCTCCATGTATTATTTACTGAGTCCAGATCATAGTCCCTTTTTAGAAAGTTGTTAAACTGTGGTCCTGTCTGCCTTGTGATTCAAGTGAATGTGAAAGAATGCTCTGTTACCTTTCCAAGTGGTGAGTTTCTTCCAGTTCTGGCTAATAACCTTCACGCATCAAATTCATGAAAAATTGTGATTAGTTTGCGACAGTAATATTTGTGGAACACTACAAAGGCAAATTGGCTGCCTATTCGCCTGCAGAATGATACTCAATTCTAATTCTCATTTTGTGATTTGCTTAATAACATTCTTTGACATAAAAAGATGTTCTATTTATACAAATGTAATGGCTTCAGTAGGATTCACTGCTATATCGTAAAAGGATTTTAGGATTTGTATGCTTTATTTAAAGCACCATCTATGATTACAATGCCCAGTTGATGTAAAATAATGACAAATGTGGAATACATTTAATTCGTATATTTTGACAAATGATTTAATACCAGGTAAGCAGCTCCAATAGATTTATATGAAATATAAATCTTCAAGTTTTTATTGCACCACGTGTCAAAACATGCTTGAATCCCAAAGTATAGGGTACAATATTAACTTGCATTTATATAGCAGCCCTCACCCAGGGTAGCATCTCAGAGCGCTTGACAGTGGCGAAGCCTGACACCGATCCGGAGGGAGGGTGTGACCGTAAGCACGGTTGAAGAAGAAGGTCGTCAAGTGCGACCTGCAGATATGGAAGGAAGGGGTAAGGTGGAGGGATTGAGGGAGAACGTTCCGGAGTTTCAGGCCATAGTGGCTGAAATGGTGGAACGGAGAGCACGAGGAAAAAGCAGGAGTATGGAGCCAGTTGAGTGAAGGTAGCGGTTAGTGGATTGGGGAGTAAGCAGGTTGGAGAGTCCATGTTTCTTTCAAATGGTAATTGGTTTGTAATACCAACGAGAAAACCTCTGATTCCGCTTTGTTTCCTACAGGACATAATTGGCTGGCGGAATGTCACTCGTCTACTTGTATACACCTCAGATGATGGATTCCATTTTGCTGGAGATGGCAAGCTTGGAGCAATTCTAAATCCCAATGATGGTAAATGTCATCTTAACAGCCTTGGCTTTTATGAAGATAGCCATAAATATGTAAGTTTATCTTTCCTACTCATTGTATTTATAATTTATAATCTTTCTATACCGAGTAAGTGTAGAAACATATGCCACCCTGCTCACTGTGAGTTGTGTAAAGCTAGTAATACAAGAGTATACAAGAGTACTGATACTGTGTTTTATTACTTCATCCATTTGCTGTATATTTAAAAATATATTTAGTAGCGATGTTTTAAGTTGAATTAATCATCCTGAAGAAAGCAGTCCAAAATGCACCGTGCTCTCATTGGACCAGGGTCTTTCACTCTGTCACAAAGGTGGAGTGTTACACAAAATAGCAACCAGCCATTCTAGGGGGGAGGACAGCTCAATGAGTAGTGATTGGCAGGTGCCATTTAAGTGTACAGCTGTTTCTCTTGTATTTATTTGAGATTATGGGGCAATTCAGTAGACTAAATTTACCCATTACAGTATGATTTTGAAGGCAATGGGAGAATTGCCTTTCATTTGACCTCAAATAAAAGATCAGGATGGCTAAATTCCGATTGAATGAGATTCAACAGGTGACCAGCACATCAAGACTAGTGAAAAATTTCCTACTGGTTTTATTCAGATAACTATCCAAACACGCCTCATGCTGCAGTAATTGCTGTTTCCTGTGCTGTTGGTAGACATTTTGAAATAAAAACCTTTTCTATTCTCACTTTTATTTTTCAGGACTATCCTTCCATTGCTGAGTTAGCTCAAAAATTAGCCGAAAACAACATTCAACCAATTTTTGCAGTCACATCAAAGATAATGCCTATATACCAGGTAACTATCTACAAATAACAATAATCCTTGCATTTGATATAGCGCCTTATCATGTTGTCGAGGTGTCTGAAAGCACTTCACAAAATTTGTTACTTGCATTTGTTACTGACCACTGCCATAGAGCAGTGCATCCTCACCTGGTATTGTAAACATTCGGAGAATCACACCAATATGCCACCTAAGTTGACCACCACTGACAACATGGCTCCATACTGAATATCTAATCAAAAGTGATTACAGAACCTATATCCGTTCACAGAATAATACTCAATATTAGCTTACTGTTCATGGAACTGTGCTCTGTACTAACTTGCCATTCACAACAGGCCCATTCACAGTAAACTGGCAAACTAGTAGGTAATCATTAACAATAGCCCAGTTTATGATGTGAAAATATTATCATAATTCCATTGCATAAAAACATTGCATAGGAAAAGATCCACAACCCATCAAACCTACTTCTTACAAAAGTCTGTATTTGTGCATTTCATGGGTGATTTTGTCTCCTGTGGGAAATGAACAATCTCAGATAACCTTTGCTTAAGAAACGGGAAATGCAGAAATCTTCCTGCCCTTCCCATCCCCTCCCCCTCCCTGACCCCAGCTCAGGTCTGAAATGCTGTACACTGTCCAGCGCCTTGGGATGTCCTACCGATGTGAAAGGCGCCGTACAAATGTAATCTTGTTGTTGTTGTTGTTGCCCTTAGGTAATCAAGTAACCAAGACACTTGGCCTTTTGATTTTCTGTTTCCCTCGCCATACTGAAATATCAAAATAGCCTTTCTTGTCTTCTAGCATCCTAAGTCACTACCCCTTCCTGCTGGTTATTTATTTTATTAATAATAATAATCCTTGCATTTCATTATAGCACCGAATCACACAATTGAAACATCTCAAAGAGCTTCACAGAATCTATTGTAAAGTGTGTATTAATGCACATTTTGTGTTCTATCTCCATTGAAGTGGCACAGGTGGAACGAAACTGGTTCATTTTTCTCTTTCTGTTTTATTTCAGGAGCTTAGTAAAATGATTCCAAAATCTGCAGTAGGTGAATTGAAGGAAGACTCCAGTAATGTGGTTCAGTTGATAAAGGATGCATATAATGTACGTTCTGTTTGGTAAAATGTTCAGTCCCTTTGCTGTTTCAGCATAATGTAAAGAATCTATGAAGGGAAGTGGTTAGCAACCTACATGCTGTACCATAGATTGTGTCATGACATCATTTTGCAGTGAAGGACATATCTTTGCGACTCAAACCCAAGGCTGCCCTTACTTTATTCCCTAGATCTGTAAAATAGTCAGTCCAGCTGCTCAGTTTGTATGGGAAGTGAAAAATCACTAAATAATTAACAGCGTTAACTACCAGTATAAAAATCTCAGTAAAAATTGGCGCCTCAGTATATAAAACTATCCCAATAAACAACCTTTTACCTAGTACTAGTTACAACCTTAAATTTTACTGTGCTGCCTCACACCTTTATAGAACATGAGTTGCAGGCCGTAATCAAGACTGCATTTATATCACGGGAGAGAATCATATATAAAGGTTTAAGTTCTTGATAATGACGTTGAACACAAACTGAAGAATATTCTAACTCACTTCAAAGATTCATGTATACACAAGTTCGCATGCACAAAGACTCCCTTGCAAAGTGTACACTTGCATAATATGAATTTATTTTTTGTGTTTACCAGAATCTATCATCCAAGGTTATAATGAAGCACAACAATTTGCCTGATGGGGTCAGGATCGAGTATAAGTCAAAATGCAGTGATGGAGAAAATGTGAATGACAAAAATGGAACCTGCTCGAATGTGAAGATTGGAGAGGAGGTGAGGTTTTATCAAGACTCTCTCCTTACTCCAGGAGTTGAAACTGATGCCTGTCTTTACACCAAATTCTTCACTGCAGAGCCCCACCTTTGTCACCGCCAAACTTGATTTCTCTAATGCCCCACTTGTTGGCGTTCCTTGCTCAGCCTTGCATAAGCTCATTCAGAAGCTCCTATTATATCTCACATGAGGCTTCATGAGCTGTTAACCCTAACCTTGCCATAATGCAATGGTTCCATATTCACCAGCGGATTAACTTTTTAAGATCCCAGTTTAACTTTCAAAAGCCCCCATGCCCTTACTCCACACTATTTGCCACCTTGGCTCTCTGTTAGCACTCTCACCTGAGTCAGAAGGTCGGAACTTGAACTCAAATAGTCTAAGGTGACACTCCAATGCAACCCGAGAGGTGTGTTCCATTGTTGGAGGTGCCGTCCTTCGGATGAGACGTTAAATTGAGGTCCCATCTGCCTATTCAGATGGATGTCAAAGCCACATGGCACTTCGAAAAGAGATGGGAGTTTCTCCCGGTATTCTGGCCAACATTTCCTGAGTAAAATTTGTCACTCATTTCATGGCTGTTTGTGGGATATTGCTGTGTGCAATTGTGCTGCTGGGTTTGCCTACGAATACAGTCATTCCATTTCACAGTAATTCCTGTGAAGAGTTTTGAGACATTTTTTCCACGCGATAAGGCGCTGTACCAAATGCAAGTATTATTATTATTTCTGTGATTTCTTGCCTTCCTACTCCCCAACATTGGTGGGCAAGCTTTCAACCATTTTGCCCCACTATCTGGAACTCTCAAAGTCCATCTATAAATTTAATCTTTTAATTTTGCCTTCAGCCACCTCCCTCCTAACCCTTCCACCTATCTCCCACTCTGCTTAGGCTCCCACTCTGTCTCTGTAGAAGAATTTTAAACATTTTCCTACATAAAAGTTGCTGAGTGCAAATTTTTGTTGATGATAGTAAGAATTTATTGAAATAAATCGTAGGAGGTAAAATTATACATTGATATTCTAATTTTTTTTGCAGCAGACAGGTCTATTTGAATGATATATTCCTTTTTTTTATTATCAAAAAAACCTGATATACCAATTAGGGCTATAAAAGAACTGAACTGTGCCCACAGTTCCAAATTCCAGTGTTAATGGCCGAATATATTTGCCTGATATATTATGGAGTCCTATAGCTCAGTGGTTAGAGCATTCGCCTCTCAAGCGAGAGACTTGGTTTCGATTCCCGGTAGGGCGAAATTTTGGGCAAGTTTCCTTAGTCCACACACCCCGGTTTACCTAGCAGTAAGTAGGAATCTGGTTGTTAGTCGAATGGAGGATCGCTTTTCCGGGGGTAATAATTGCTTAAAAAAAAATAATAAATTGGTCACTTCAACTGTTTGCGGGACACTGCTGTGCCCAATTGGCTGCCGCGTTTCACTAACAAAATAAACAGTCAATTCACTTTATAGTATATTCTGTGAAGGGCTTTGAGACGTCTCGAAGACATGAAAAGGCGCTATATCAAATGCAAGGATTATTATTATCATTGACTAAAATTATTGCTGGGTAATGAAAGAGTTTCCATACTAGAAATTGCACCTTTGACCATTTTGTATTCCTCATAAAATAGAATGTGTAGATGTAAATCACCAAATCATTAAACATCATCAGAGAGTACGTACTTGTACTCAACACACACTGAAGTTAGAATGAGATGAGCGGTATTAATCACAGTGTAGCACACTAACAATATGATGATTGGTTCTTGAGTCTGAAAATCAGGAAACAATTGAACATCTCAACTGACCCCATTTCAGTGATGGTGGCAGATAGTCCACGTATCATTTCATTTGGGGGGAGGGAATCATTGAAGAGTTTATTGTCTCCTAAATTGTTGTCACCCATACAAAAAAAAATGTTTTTCAGGTAGAATTTATTGTCACAATAACTGCAGAAAAATGCTTGGACAAAACATATACATTTGAGATCAGACCCCTGGGCTTCACAGACAAGCTGGAGATTGAATTACGGACAGAGTGCAACTGCAATTGCGATGACAGTTTTGAAATGGCTGAACACTGCAACAAACATGGTAGCATCAAATGTGGAATATGCAGGTAAGATCACTGGAAATTCTTAACATATTACCTCGACCACAGGTTATAAATGGGACAGACCTTATCTGCATTTAAGAGTCCCTCAAGTTTCCCTTTCCTATCTAGGAAAAGTGCTGGCCTCTGTTCCAGAGCTGCCCACAATAATACAACAGAGATACCTTTGTGAGCCAGGAATGCGATTCAGGAAGGAGGAGAACCAATAGGCAATAATAAGATCAATAGTTGTAAATTTCATATTTATTGCATTGAATGTACTGAAGGCACAATGAAAACATTCAAGAAGCCAAGTGCATGATAACAAATATGCACAATGTGACTGCTGATTTGCGTGATTGGAGGTTTTTACTGAACAAAGAATTCAGAATTGTGTTAACTGGCAATTATATGCAGTGATCCACAGCTAGATAACCAATGCCACAAGCCTGACTTCTCAGATATTGTTATTCGGAGTGCTGAGATAATTTATTAATAATATAATTCAAGTTGTTTTAAAATGCCGAGAGAAATGGATCATAGAGATGAAAACAGGTTATTTAGCTTTGACTGAGTGTGAGACAGAACATAGAAAATATTTTTCTTTGCATTGTGAATATGAGGAATTGATTCCCAGAAAATCTATGTAAGATTTTTAAAACTTTTTTTTTGGGGGGAAAAGATAAATAGATTAGGAAAATAGTTGGGAGTGATAATAAGTTTGAGTACAGATTGAAGTGATTGATTTTTGCGAACATGATGGTTCTTCAGCTGCAGGGACCATGAAGTGTCAAAAACAAGTTGGATTTATATAGCGCCTTCACATGGGGCAGCGTCTCAGAGCGCTAAACAGTGGCTGATGCCAAACTGGGAGAGGGAGGAGGTGACTTAGTAGATCGAAGATGAAGGTCTTCAGTTGTGATCTAAAAAGGGAAAGGAGGGGGCAAGGCAGAGGAATTGAAGAAGACTTCCAAAGCTTTGGGGCGTAGCAGCTAAAAACATGGCCACTGGTGGTAGAGAATAGGGGACGAGGGATGAGCAGGACACCAGAGCCAGCTGATGGAGAATATCATGCAAAAGGAAGTAGACTTACACGTAAGATGTAAAGTAAGAAAGAAAATAAAATTTGCATTTTTCTAACATGTTAACATTTCAAAACATCTCAAAAAATGTTACAAGTAATTATTGTCAAGTTTTTTTAATAAAAAAATTTGCAGTGATCGTCAAGTTCCCAAAAGCATCCATGAGGTGAGTGACCAATTATCCAGAGGAATATTGGCCATGACAAGGGAAATGCTCCATTCTCTTTCAGAATAGAAATGGATTCTGTAACGCCCACATGATCAGGCATATTCTAATCTCTGTTCCTTGTAACTCATTGGAGGAGTTGAGACTCATTTTTGTTTCTTGGTGCAGCTGTACTAATAACCGGATTGGTCAGTTTTGTGAGTGTGACCCTGGACAGCAGTCCACTCAGGAGCTGGTTACAGCCTGTCACAGGGACAACAGCTCAGCCAGCTGCAGCAACCAAGGAGACTGTTTCTGCGGGAGGTGCACATGTCATACGAGCCCCAAAAAGAAGATTTATGGCCAGTTTTGTGAATGTGATAACGTGAACTGTGAGCTGAACTTGGGCAAACTGTGCGGTGGTGAGTAAATCTTATTGGAAATACTGCAGGCCACTGCCACAGGAAACCCATCACAATGTTTAAAAGTGTACAAACCAGACTGAGTTCCACATATACGCCATTTACTGGTAGAAATTTACTGACCTGGAATGGAACCGACTGTGCTTTCCTACTTTTGGAGTATTAAACGCAAGCTGGCAGGAGCCAAGCTTAGGAATCCCCAAATATGTATTGGGGGCATTGTTAGCATTTAACCAAGCAAAAAGATATAGCTCGCCACTGAGAGCACTGTCTGGCAAACTTTCTGCTGCTTGTCTAGCAAGGACTACTTCTCCCTGTTGGACTTTGGCTTGCAGGGTTAAAGGGAGCCAAGTGAGAAGAATCCCTGCTCCCAGTGACAAGTTAGGCTGCTGATGAGCCAGGTTGGCTGATCTGTCAGCAGTAGTGATTATTTGAATTTCCCAATTTCCCTTTCCTCTAGTAATTATAGTAATAATTCTTTATATAGCACCTTTCATGTCAGAAGGATGTCTCAAATCACTTCACAGGATTTCACTCTAAATTGCAGTGACTGTGTATTTTGTAGGCAAACCAGCAGCTAATTTGCATAGACCAATGTCCCACAAGTAACTATTAAGTGAATCACCAATTCAGCATTCCCCCAACACTGAACTGAGTGTCAGGCTAAACTAAGTTGAAAGTCCCAATATGGGGCTTGAACTTACAACCATTTAACTCAGAGGCAAGCTACACTGCTGCTGAAACAATGAGAAGAAATTCAAGGCATACTCCATGACAAATTGGTGCCTCCAAATACATTATAGGTATAATTCCTTTTTAATAAGACCCCACCACCAGCTTTCCCTCAAAGTAATGATAACAAGAATGGGTTCTCTGCTTAGTCATCTTCACTGGCTTACTGAGTAGAGCCGGCTGGAGAAAGTTGGCTCTCATCCGGGATTTAATGGCTAACAGGCAATCCATCAAGTGATCCTGGAATCGAAGTTGGAGATAGAGTTGGGGATCATCTGCATACATGTGGTAGTTAACCCCATTCCTGCAGATGATTTCACTGAGTCGGAGCATGTAAATATTAAAAACATGCAGAATCCAACTTGCACCTTGTTGCTCCAATGTGAACAGATGCAATATCCAATTAGTAACCTTTTGCACATGATGAATGTATACTGAATGTTTTTTTTAATTGAGAACAGACATAGAATGATGCATTTTGGGAGGATGAATGAAGAGAGGCAATATACAATAAATGGTTCAATTTTAAAGTGGGTACAGGAACAGAGAGACCTGGGGGTCACATACACAGGTGTTTGAAGGTGGCAGGACAGGTTGATAGAGCTGTTAAAAAAAGCATACAGGATCCTTGGCTGTATAAATAGAGGCATAAGAGTACGAAAGTGAGGAAGTTCTGCTAAACTTTTATAAGTTATTGGTTAGGCCTCAGCTGGAGTATTGTGTCGAAGAATATCAAGGCCTTGGAGAGGGTACAGAGATTTACCAGAATTGTATCAGGGATGAGGGACTTCAATTATGTGGAGAGACTAGAGAATCTGGGATTGTTCTTCTTAGAGCAGTGAAGGATAAGGGGAGATTTAATAGAGGTGTTCAAAATTATGAGGGGTTTTGTTAGAGTAGATAGCGAGAAACTATTTCCACTGGCGAGTGGGTCAGTAATCAGGGCATATAGATTTAAGATAATTGGCAAACGTGGGGATGAGGAGAACATAGAGTTGTTACGGTCTGGAATGCACTGCCTGAAAGGGTTGTGGAAACAGATTCAATAACAACTTTCAAAAGGGAATAGGTACTTGAAAAGGAAAAATTTGCAGGGCTATGTGGAAGAGCAGGGGAATGGGACTGATTGGGTAGCTCTTCCAAAGGTACAGGCACAATGGACCGAATCGCTTCCTTCTGTGCTCTACGATTCTATGAATCTGATCGATGCGTGTCCTAGAGTTTGCATTGTGTCATGTCTGATTCTACTTTGATCAAAAAACATAGAAATATATCCTAATATTACATCTCAAAGGTGCTTCAGAGTTACCTGTAAATTGAACTGAGTAATTTCAAGGTAATTGTAGCAGTCAATGTGCCCATAGCATTCATTACCCCACAAACAGCCATGAAGAAATGTCTTTTTTTTAATCTGGGGGATTATTGACCAGGATTTGAGAGACTCCTTTCTCTTTTTGAACAGTGAAATGCCACCTTTAATGTCCTCCTAAAAAGGCAGAGGATACTTCTATCTTGATCCCATAGACATCTGACTCCGAGGTGAGAGTCTACTAAGTGAGCCACGCTGACACCTGGTCAGTTTTAGTTATGTAACATATTTTCTCTCCACTCTGTAGCATGATTGTTATTTTGCCAATGTTTGAAGTCTACTGCAATGTTATCAGTGTTTATGCTGTATCTGCTTTCTGCTACAGGGTGACATTTTAACGTGGTATCACCTGATCATCATTTGTACCATATGGAATAGCTGATGTGCCTTAGTTGATAGTTTGTGCAGCACCAGTTGTAGTTGAGCTGCAACTATGATTAAAGGCTGTCGAGATATTGTAATGAATCATTCTTATTTCTATTGTAGGGCACGGAACATGTGATTGTGGAACATGCAAATGTAATTCAGGCTTCAGTGGAAGTGCTTGCCAGTGTCCGCAGTCTGATCAACGCTGCAAGAACAATAATGGCCGAATCTGCAGTGGAAGAGGAACATGCGAGTGTAACCAGTGCAAATGTAATACAGGTTATGAACCTCCACATTGCAAAGAATGTCCAGCATGTCCATCCCCATGCCCAAAATACATGTAAGTACCCACTTGAGAGCTATACACTTCTGAGAAAACTTTCTCATTATAATCAATGTTCTGATCCTGCACCCTTATAGTACAGTATTGCACTGTATATCTCAGAGACCACTTGGAGACCTGTCTCCAAGCATTCTGCTTCATCTGTGCACATTATCAAAAGAATTGAGGGCATTTAATTACTTCTATGATCAAACATAGAATTCCATGTGCGTGGAAGTAATAGTTTTCAGTTGATTGTATGATATAGCTGATGTAGCCTATTATCAGAAATTAGGGTTCAACTCTCAACCTAAGGTCAATACAATACGTCCAACAAGGAGAAATAGAGTCAGTTCAGAGGAGAACAATGAGGAAGATCTAGTGTTGCAGGAGCTCTGTAAAACGAGTAGCTAAGCTTGGGCTTTCCAAATCAGTGGCTCCTCAGAACACCTTATAGAACTATACAATATTCTAAATGGTTGAGTAAACCAAAAACAATACTTTCAGAAATCCCAAGGCAGCAGAATAAGAGGGCTCAGGTTCTGGGTTTCAAAGAGCAATTTATAGACAGACACTAGGAAGTATTTGTTTACTCAAAAGATGAGTAATGAGTGAACAGGTTACCAGGAAGGGTAGCTAAAGCCAAGTGCTGGATACATTTAAGAAAATGTGATAATCTTATAGAAGAATGGCAGGGTGGGTATTCCACTAATAAGAAATCAAATGGGCCAAAGGGGCTTCTTCAACCAAACTTGTGAACTGTGACCACCATAAGTCACTCTGACTAAAGCTAACGAAACAGTTTGAGGAGATAAATGATAAGAGACAGTTTCCGCTGATAGGTGACGCAAGGACAAGAGGGCATGAATTTAAGATAGTAACTAGAAGCATGACAGGCAAAATTAGAAAGACTTTTTTTCTTCAAGAGGCTTATCAGAATATGGAATAATTCATCAGGATAGCAGCTGGACCAGAGTCCCATTTAAAATGGAATTAGATAAGCACATGTAGAGCAAGGGTATCCAAGGGTACATGGAAAGAGCATGGAATTTGCTTAATTGCTTAATTCATTACCGTGTGTGAATGCAAAATTAATACAATGAGTTGAATGGGTCTTAAATTCTTATGGTTCAAACAAATAACATAATAATACTTGTATTTGATATAGTGCCTTATCAAGTCTTTGCGACATCTCAAAGCACTTTACAGAATATACTCTAAAGTGAATTGACTGTAAATTTTGTTGGCAAAATGCAGTAGCCAATTGCACACAGCAGAGTCCCATAAACAGTCATGGATTGAGTGACCAATTTATTGTTATTTTTTGTTGAAGGAATTATTACCCCTAGAAAAGCAATCCGCCAATCGACTAACAACTGGGTTCCTACTTACTGCTAGGTAAACTGGGGTGTGTGGAGTAAGGAAACTTGCCCAGCATTTCGCCCTACCAGGGATCGAACCCAGGTCTCTCGCTTGCGAGGCGAGTGCTCTAACCACTGAGCTACAGGACTCCACAAGTTGAAAAACATGGGACACAAGAGTGAAGTTCCTTTTTAAGTTGGGGTTCTTAAGGTTCTTACCCAACTTCATTACAATTTAACAATAAGAAATTGTAATGAAGGATTGGACAGCATATATACTGAATTCAGTTCTGTTATCTTTGAAACCTGGTACCTGAGTTTGAATCTAGTCAAGATAATAGGGGGTGGAGGCCTTTGCTATTTCATAAGGATTACAGTATTTTAGATTATTGTGTTTAACTCAATTAGATTCAAACATTCCAGACAGATGGGTGTAGTGGACAATTTGTGGTGCAAGTGTTTGATTACCAACACATTACTTTTTTTCAGACATTGTGTGGAATGTCTTGGATTTGACTCTGGGCCATACAAGGACAACTGCACTGCATCCTGTACAAATATAAAACACAATAAAACAGGCACAGTGAAGCAGAAGCCCTGTAAAGAGAAAAGCTCCAAGGATTGCTGGATAATTTTCTCAATGACGGAATTAGATGGAGTTTCACAGTATGAGGTGGTCATCCGTAAGGAGCAAGGTTTGTGTAACTTTGTTTAAGAAAACTACAGAGTAAACACAAATATGTTGAACCTCTGGAATTCCACCATCTGCCACTCCACCACTTTCCTTCTGCCTCAAATGCACCTATGGCCACCTCCCACTCCCCCTCTCCTTTGCTTGGTTTCAAACCTATGACGTGCTTTAAGATGTTACCCCACTTGAAGGGCAAAATATAAACAGAAGTTGTTGTTCTTCTCCAACCTAATATCAAAAGATGAGTTAGGCCTGGTATTTCTCCAAATTTTCCTTAAGTGAATGCAATATGGTAGACACATATTTTTAGGAGAACATGGCAAGGTTATTTGTTTTTATTGAGATGCCATGTTTGATGACTGATTTTGTTTTTTACCTTTGAGATCTGGGTTCATATCCACGATTGTCAGAGAAAAAAGTTTTTCTCTCTCAAAGGGACAGGGTACATTGTATTAGATCCTAGAGGTAAAAAGATAGTGTCCTAAGTCAAAAGTGGTTGTGTACATCCTTTGACATGACATTTGTAATCCAGTAACATTTTTAAAAAGAGTAGCATGGTTTACAAACTCATTTAGACATAGTTATGTCTGTAGTAAAACTGAGGTAATTTTAAACAAAAACTATTTTTATTCCTAATGATAATGAGTAAAAATGCTCTGGTCTGAATTCAATAACAGAAGAGGAATTGTTTTTGGTCAGGCAGCGGTCTGACAAATGTAGAAAACCCATGTTTAAGAGTATCCAAACCAAACAGAGTTCCACCTACAAATGGAAATTCTAGAGATTTTATGGAAGCACACTCTCTCCCTGGAGGGATGCATCCTGCTTACCTAATTCCTGAAAGTATTTGGTACACATTGGCAAGAGCCAAGGCTTGAGGATCTAAGTGTGCATTGGGGCACTGCTGGAGTCTAACCAGCTAAAACCTTACAACTTGCTATTGTGAGCAATGGATAGCAAGCTACATCATTGCTCATCCAGCTAGGACCATCTACTGTTAGGGTTTGGGCTTGCAGGCTTACCAGGATCTGAGTGGGAACAGTTCCTGCCCCAGTGATTATTCTGCCTTTCCTGGTCCTGTTGATCAGACATGCCCTGGAATACCGCAGGTTTCCCTGGCTCAGGAACTGGACTACCGAGACCACCACAGAGGTTGGGCTCGATTCTGACATTCTGTTGCCAAACATGTCACCTAGGAGCCAGAAGAGGCTAAGATTCAAGAATTGACTGAACTTTGTTTGGCTAGCGCTCCACCTGCCAGGAATAGCTGGTATTACACCATTTTTCGGTAAACAACCAAAACAACTGGTTCAGAATACATTCAACATTTCTCTTTGTAATAGTCTACGAGAACACGGGTTCCCAAACTGCAGACGTGAGCTTTTAGAGGGACCGCCACCTTCCTGTCACTCTTCGTGCTCTTCTCCTTAGTATATAAGAGGCACAAGGCAGTGCAGAGAGCGACAGGAAAAGAGGTGGAGTGAGAGGTATGAACAATGTAAAAATGTAATCAAATACTATATTATTTTGGGATGAAATTGAAGCAAATAGTTGAGATGTTTTAAAATATAAAGCATCTCAGAGTACTCTGTATGTAGATTATTATAGTTAGTGCTGCAAAATGGGGCCGGCAGTTGAATTAACCGTTTTGTTGACGGCTGGACAAAAAGTGTGGCCAGAAAAGATCAGGTTATTCTGATTAGCCAAAATATAACATTGAAAACAGAGGAACCAAAGTCACTTGTATTTTATGCTTAATAGATCATTTACATACTAAGGCAAAAAAAACACATTGATTCAATAAACAGGCTTACAGTAGACATTATTTTGCTATTATGCTCACATATAACATGTCACTATAGTGACAATATCATAGACAGCGGATCTCTTGCTTGGGGATGCTGCTAATAGCGGGCTTTGGAGGTCTTGCAGTCGAGTTCTTTTGTTGTCAAAGTCTGTTCTTTCTTCTTCGATGTTACTGGCACCTTGGACATTTGAGTCGCTTGAGTCACAGAACCTTGGGTAGAAGTTCTGACTTGCTGGAGATGCAAAAAAAAAAACCAGAAGTTACTTGCTCTCTCACAAACTCAAACTGACAACTCGGATTGATAGAAGTGTAGCTCAGCTATCCTTTTACATCTTTGTATTCACATACGGCTGATACATGCAGGTCCATATAGCTTCACCCAACTGAAACTGTTTAATCAGGCCGATCAGGCTGGCCGGGGTGGGCAAGGCTGCCTCTGATTAAAACAATACATCAACAATTAACAAAGAAGGAACAACTGACTAACAAGTTCACTTCTCCACCCATCCCTCCCAATCTTCTCTCTTCCCTCTTCTTTCTCCTCCATCTCCCGAATTAAGTTACCACACGCTCCTTTGACCCCATCCCTAACCCTTTCCTGACCTCCCAGCTCCACCTCCTTGCCCCCCCGCCCTGCTAACCTACATCGTCAACCTCTTTGTCCAGTGAAACATCTGTTTCTCAAAAACTTCCCTCGACACATCCCTGTTCCCTAACTACCATCTCCAACATCTTTCCTCTCCAACCTCTCTTTTTTCTTCAAGGTACTAGAATGAGTCTCTACTTCCAAGCTTTGCTCTTCCCACTCCCTGCATGAACCCCTCCAATCCAGCTTCTGCGCTGCCCACAGTACCGAGACTACTTGGTTCAAAGTCACAAATGACATTCTCTGCATCTGTGACCAGGTCTTTCTCTGCCTCCTCTTGACCTCTCTGCTGCCTTTGACACTGTCGACCATCCTATTCTTCTCCACTGCTTTTCCTTTCAGTTCCACCTTCACTGTTCTGTCCTTGCCTAGTTGTCTCCCAATGTCTCCACTTCATATCTGTCAATGTTTTTCCTCCCACCCCCACACTGTCATATGCAGCATTTCTCAGGGCTCTATCCTTGGTTCAACTTCTTTCTCCAGTTGAATGTCAGTAAGACAGAGGCTCTCCTGCTTGGCTCCAGTCAGCACCTTCTCACTTCAGGCACTGATATCATCAGTCTACATGGATGCACACTCCACCTCATGGAGCCGATGCAGAACTTTTATGACTTGTTAAGACTCTCAAGTGTCCTTAAATTCCCACACCTGTGCCTAGACCCGCTTAGCTTTCCCGCACTTCTGCAACATTGCCCGCCTCTGCCATCACCTGGTGCCGCTGACCCCCTATCCATGCTGCTTTCATGGCCAGCTTGAATATACCATCTCTCTGCTTGCCAGACTTCCCAAATCTTCCCTCCACAAGCTGCAGGCCATTCAGAACTATGTAGGTCGAGTTTCTCTCTTGCACTAAGCTCCGTGAGCCATTTGCCTCCCTCCTTTACCAGCCTACATTCTTGCTCATCTCCATTGGCTCCCCATGCCTCAGACGATCAAGTTCACGATGCTCTTCTTCATTTTTATAACCCTCCATAGTCCTATCAACCGGCCGTTCCCTCAGCTTGGCAGGCATTTGCCTGCTTCACGTCACCTTCCCTGATCACTCCACCATCGATGGTCAGCCTCACTGCCTCGTCGTCTGTGGAACTTCAGTATGTGGAACCCCAATCCTGAAATGGAACTTGTTTTCTTTCCACAAATTCTTGCAATAGGTTTAATTCTTTCTCTGTTTTAAAGTTCTTCCATTGTATTTCAGATTGTCCCAAGCCTCCAAATATTGCTGCGATAATTGGTGGGGGAGTCAGTGGAGTGTTGCTCATTGGATTGGCAATTCTTCTGATATGGAAACTAATTACTGAATTGTATGACAGAAAGGAATTCCGCAGATTTGAGCAGGAGAAAACGAAAGCAAAGTGGCAAGATGTATGTACTATCCTCAATTTCAATGTGTGCAACTGCAATATGCATTTTAAAAGAAAATTGGGTCATTGTTAATTGGAAATGAGCCAGATTAGGATGGAACAAATTTAACAGTTCCAGTTTTACCAACGTTGGTGGACCTGTCAGCAATTGGGTTTGAGTTGTCCCAATAAAATATCACCTGGCCAGGCAGGCGGCAGCGGGTGGGAGGGCGGGGCAGGTGGGGCGGGAAGCGGGGGAGCAGTGTTTTGAACTATCCTTTGGGGGATGGGGAGCAAGTGGAGCCGGGCGAGGGAAGAGATGATAGGGTCACGGATCCTGATGCGGGAGAGGACACAAGCTGCAGAGTTCTGGATGATCTGCAGCTTGTGGAGGCAAGAGTTGGGAAAGCCAACAAGCAGTGAGTTGACTTAGTCAAGTGTAGATCCAGATAACATCTATCAAATGTTAATTGTATTCATCTAATTAACTACAACCCGTTTGTGTGTTTTCCATAGGGTGACAACCCCCTGTTTCAGACAGCAACTACCACAGTCATAAACCCCCTCAATAACTAGAGATTTTGATGGAGCTGAGATTTGTTTAGCCTGCTGCGCCTCAATCAAGCCATGCAATATTTGAATATTCAAAATGTATTTTAATGAATTTCCTTCATTGCTTAGTTTCTGTTTTTAATTTGCAAAATGAGCATTTACAAGATACATTATCAGAAGAGACCATACATTTCATTAGGTGCAATAATGGATCCTCTGAAAGTTATATATTAATAATCAGGGTGAACGCTTAGTACTTTTTGCACATTTGAGGTGTTGGCAATTGAATGCCAATGCAAAATTATGACGAACAAACTATTAGTACCCAAAATTAGTGCCCAATACTGATACCAGTATCAATGTCAAAATACTAGCTAACTCACCCAAACTCCCAGTGCTTGGTTTTACAGTAAATTCCCTATAGCTCAACCCTGGCTTAACTTGTCACAACCACTTAAGTCATAATGTTGTCAATATCCCAGCCACATTTATTTATGTATTTATACATATGCCTAACTCGCCACTCCAGATAACTTGTCACTGAGCTTTTTTCCTTTGTTATCAGGAGATAACTGTAGATACAAGTTTTGACATCAGTGCCAAAATGTCAGATGATATTTTATAAATTCTAGTTGCAGGGTTTCCCTTCGATGGGTTCAGATGCACAAATCTTTGATGATCTTTTGACGGTTTTACCAAAAAGAGACTGAAGCTATACAGATTATATCTTGTATTCTTGAATATGATCTTCTAGTTATGTTCTTTTTATAAACCCCAAATGTTTGTCCATTTTCTATCAATAAACAATAAACTAATAAACTAGAATGACTATAGATTTTGTATAAAGTAATGGTGATTTCAGGGACAACTGGGAGTTTATCCTTGGGCCCCAAATCAATGGTAGAGATATTGTGTAATTGGTATCCAATACTACTGCAAATTTACTCCCCAAATTACAATACTTGGTCTGATATACATATCACCTCCTGAAACTTGCCTCTTCCACTTAGTCAGAATCTATAAAAGCAGACAGGTGGTAGATATCTTTACATCATCTATGCAATCCTATTTAATTTTATTCCTGTTTTGTGTTTCATTTGTTAAATCGCATGTCAGTTACTGACTCATTTTAAATACGAAGGTTACAAATTGTTAATAAACATCTTGTACACAATTTTACATCCACTCATTAACATTGGATTGAAACTCTGGTTTCCTAAATGACTCCTGTTTTCTAAGAATCAAATACAGAAATTGTTTGTCTCCTACATTCTGAAACCTTCTCTCTAATCTGCAAAGGTCTCAGAATTTAGGAGGCTATATCCTGATCAGCACACAATTCCTTTGTTTGTCCTGATAATTCATTGCAACTGAGTGGTTTCATTATATAGTATACATTTGTATTTTTGCTGATGTACAATACCAACCTGTCTGCTCAGTGGGTACTGGCCTGCATAATGCATAATGTCCAAGCCAAGATTGTTTTCTGCCGCACAATCTGGGTCTATATCCCTGAATCTCACAGCCTCACCTTCTCCCTTGCCTCCTTCAAGGCCCGTCTCAAGACTTTCCTCTTTGGTCGTGCTTTCAGCCACCCCCATACCCTCGAACCCTCTTGATTCCAACCCCCAGCTCAGTGCAAACCTTTAAATGTCCAGTTCATTGGGACGTCCTTCTGATGTGAAAAGCACTATATAAATGTAAATGTGTTGTATGTGGTGTCTGGAGGTTTTTGTTTCTTGTGTAACTCATGAAAAATGACAAGATAGAATGCAAACCAATAGCTGATGTCTGTTGTCTAGGTTTTAGGCATTGCCACTAAACTACCAGTATAAACTTTTCTGTGAGCTTCAACTGCTCAACTCCTTGTCAATACTTGTGGCTGAATATTTTTGGTGTGTCACTGGGAAAGGTGCTTAATTCAGTAAAGTCTAACAATGCGTCTACATTTGTCCTTCTGTTTTGTGGTTTTGCTTTTTATCCCTAATTTAGGTAGCAACTAAATTGCTTGAATTGGTCACATATGGATAAGATCAATATTTTATTGAAGTCTGGTCAAATAAAAGCTCCTCTTGCTTTAGTTTTCTGTTTCTTTTCTGTGGCTAACTGCTGTTAGTGTAATCATCTGCAGTTTGAACATTATAGTAACTGTGGTGCTTGGGAGGGAAATTACTGCTCTGACAGATAACTCCAGAAACATGGATTTCCAGAGGAAGGATATGATTTTATATCATCTCAGAAATGCAATTATCAAATAACACGAGGGAAAGATGGTGAGATTCTTATTTCATTGCTGAAAACTCTGAACAGAAGTTTAACTCTTAGTCTGAGTCCTGTAGCTCAGTGGTTAGAGCACTCGCCTCGCAAGCCAAAGAATTGGGTTTGATTCCCAGCAGGGCGAAATGTTGGGCAAGTTTCCTTACTCCAAGCACCTCTGTTTACCCAGCAGTAAGTAGGAACCTGGATGTAGTCGTTCGCAGATCGCTTTTCTAGGGGTAATAATCCCTTCAAAAAAAATAATAATAATTTGGTCAATCAATCCATGGCTGTTTGTGGGAAACTGCTGTGCGCAATTGGCTGCCATGTTTCGCCTACAATACACAGTCAATTCACTTTACAGTAAATCCTCCAAAACACTTGGAGGCAGATCAAATATGTGATAAGGCACTATATCAAATGCAAGGATTATTATTAATTCTTATTAGTGTAAGAAAGCACATATTTATCTTTTTCAGTTCAAAAACATTCTCAGTGGTACCTTTCAAGATATGCTATTTGCTCTTGAGTAATAGTTGCAAAAATATTTTTCTGTGATACTCAACTTGTATATTATGAAAAAATAAGACTGAAATATCTGGATTATTGGACAAGTCATTTTTCTTAATAAACAAAAATATTGAAAGTTTTGCACAACCTTTGTTTAGTCTACAATTCTTAAAGTGTTGAATAAGCTGAGATGCTACAGAATCACAGCGCCATCTTGTAAATATAGATCCAAGTATAAGGCAGTCCTGTTCCAGGATTCTTTGCCCAGCTGAAATTGTCAACTCACCAGCCTGCACTATAGTGTAACATGTTTGTGTACTAAGGTCAAATACTGATGGGGACTGCTGATAAATTAAAGCTAAATTAGTTAAAAGTAAAATAAGAAAGTATTTCTTCACAAAAAGGTTTGAGAATATGGAATGCACAGGCCTAGAAAGAATTGATTAGGGCATTTAAAAGTTAGATTGGTAAATAGTTGCAAAAGGCTATTAAGAGAAATGAAGAAAAGGCAGGGAAAAACAATTAAAATATTACTACCAAGATCTATCTAAAAATAGCAGAAAAAGCTCATTACGGAAGCTTTTCATTCAGTATTTCAGCAGTGGTCTATCCTAATTAAGCACATTGCTTTGTGCCTGACAAGTATAAAAGCAATCAAATGATTTTTTAAAAATAAGATGAGTGTATAATTATTATGGTGATAGTGACAATATGATAGCCAGATCTTTGGCAAAGTGACTATCAATGTAATAATCTTAATAAAGCACTTACAACAAAAATCAACACTTCATAGGTAATTGCTGTGAAGTACAGTGGCTGTATTTATAGGTATTAAAGCAGGTAATTTGGACAAATGTGCCTTACAAACAGCATTAAGTGAATAAGAAATTTATCTGGAGGTTTGTTAATCAAAACTCTAGGAGGTGCATGAAGCAACCTTCATTTTGAAGAGAGCTAGCAAACAAATGATGTGCATTTATTTTAAGTGGTGGAACTCAACATTGCTCAATCATTGATTTTCTTCACTTTTCGCTCCATTCTACTGGCACTAGATGGTGCTGTAGGACAGGCTGTCTGATTCACTGAATTGTACTTTTAACTCTTGGGGAACAAAGTTTCAGACTGTTAAATGTAAATTTGTATTGTAAAAGGAAATGGTCATACTATATTCTAAAGCAACATAGACCTTGACTGGACAATTGGAGTACATACTTTTGGCATCTTCAGGCCAGATATTATTAGACATCTCTAACTCTCTTCTCGTCAGTTACAAGCTCCAACAGTTAGGAACTTGCCTTGCTGTCTGTCTTAGCTGCAGATAATATTTGGTTTGGAGAGACCCAAGAATAGAAAATGTAGTCTTAACCTTAATAAGGTTTGTTTTTCCAGGGATCAGGTTGTTTTTGGATATTTATAACTAAAACATCAATGGAAGTGTGAACCAATCAAGCCAATTCGGGCATTCTATACACTCAAGTAGAATCTTACAGTACAGGAGGAGGCCATTCAGCCCATCATGCCTGTGCCGGCTCTTTGAAAGAGCTATCAACAAACTAGTCCCATTCCCCCATCCTTTCAGGCGGTGTATTCCAGACCGCAACAACTCTCTGCGTAAAAAAATTCTTGTCATCTCCCCTCTGGTTCTTTTGCCAATTATCTTAAATCTGTGTATTCTAGTTACCAAACCACTTGCCAGAGTAAACAGTTTCTCCCTATCTACTCTATCAAAACCCCTCACAATTTTGAACACCTCTATTAAATCTCCCCTCAACCTTTTTTGCTCCAAGGAGAATAATTCCAGTAGTCCCTCATCTTTGGTATCATTCTTGTAAATCTCATCTGCACCCTCTCCAAGGCCCTGACATCCTTCCTAAAGTGTGGCGCCCAGAATTGTACAGAATAATTAGATTATATTTTAATTTTTTCATCAAAGTGCAGCATTTAAACCCATTATTGACTTCAAGTGCATATGCACCACAATGTATTAATTCTAATAATGTCTCACAATTTGATTTTTTTAATAGTTCTATGAGCATCTTTTGGGTGCTACAAATTACTGATGGAGATTGTGAGAAAAAAATGCAATTTGTTTTAGAATTTCTGAGGGCTCACCTTACATTCAGATGTCGGGTGCTGGTGAACCAAGATTCTGGTCAGTATGGGTCATGAGATTTTCTTTGGCTCCCTTAAGATTTTCTTATAATAATCCTTGCATTTGATATAGCCTCTTATCACATCATCGAGACTTTATCAACATACTTCACAGGATATTCTAGAATGCATTTGTACTTAATTCAAAAGTCCTCCCTCTCTCTTTGGGCACTCCACCCATTTAGAAGCAGTTCAAACTGTCAATCAACTGTGATTTGATTCCTCCCATTCCCTCCCTTGTTCTTCGCTGTTCCTCCGGACCCTCACTGACTGACAGTCCAACTGGTTGGAGTCTGCTGTCAATCGATCTTACCTCGTGGCTGAATGGAGCCGCTCGAGACACGAATAATTACATACAGCGGAGATCAACGCGCATTTTGACCGGATAAACCGGATATTTGTCTGAATCAACCGGCATATTTAAAACAGGTAAGAATACAAATGAATCGGGGGCCCAGCGTCTTGTTCAAATTATCCAGCATCCGTCTCCACTGTATTGGAAACATAAATTTGCCATTTTCAGAACCTAGCTGGGATGAGATACATTTGAAGGATTTTTGTTAATTTTCATGCAGACTGCTACATATAGCAACTTAAATTCTAGTACCTAATAATAATAATCCCTGGATTTGATATACTGCCTTATCATGTCGATGAGACGTCTCAAAGTACTTCACATAATATACTGGAAAGTGAGTTGGCTGTACATTTTGTGGGTGAAACACAGCAGCCAATTGGACATAGCCCACAAACAGTCATGGATTGAGCGACCAAATTATTACTATTTTATTTATACTACAGGGGCAAATAAGAGAAAATATTACATTGGTGCACTGATTGGAGCAGAAGTATCTTAGAATCCACCATTCTCCAGCAGTGACACTTGCTTACACAATAGTAATAATAATCCTTGCATTTTGATATAGCGTTTTTCATGTCTTCTAGACGTCCCAAAGTGCTTCACAGAATATACTGTAAAGTGAATTGACTGTATATTTGTGGGCGAACGCAGCAGCCAATTGCACACAGCAGTGTCCCACAAACAGTCATGGATTGAAAATGACCAATTTATTATTGTTTTTTGTTTTGGAGGGATTATTATTAGGTGTGTGGAGTAAGGAAACTTGCCCAAGGTTTCACCCTGCCTGGAAATGAACGCAAAGCGAGTGCTCTAACCACTGAGCTACAGGACTCCTCAATAGTCATTACACCTTACATTATATTTTGAGACGTCACTCTGACGTGAAAGGTTCTATATCAAATGTAATTATTATATTGGTAGGCAACATTAAACTACACTTTACTTATTTTTAAAAAGAGATTAAATGTCCTATTCTCTTCCCCTCCTGCCCCATTTCTCTATCCAGCTTCTTCCTGTGCTATTTTGAATGGTTTCCAAGCATCTATGCTTGAATAGCTCAGAGATCATGCTTTAAGTATTTCTACAAGAAAAAAAAGTGCACAGTAATATGAACTGTGCGTTGTTTGTCTCAAGTATTTTACCTAATGGGGACATAGAAAATACTCATATCAAGGGTTTGTTGAAGAGGCAGTGATCAAACATGTGGTTAATGAATGTTGATTAATTATTGAAGTTTTCAATGATGAGTATAACAGATAATTAATTTTCCAAGAAACTGCATTGTTGCTGTCTATCATAGTCAGATGGTTAAAATGTCATCTCAGGATTGCTGCTGGTTGGGTTCAACAACATATACGTTTTTATTTCGTTTTCAGTCGCAAAGCTTATTTCAGTAATTACTTGTAAGTTGCTTATCTCTCCTTTGTATAAATTGAGAAGAATTTACAACAGTACAGATCACATGCAGAAGGAATAGGTGTGGGTAGTCTTCTGACTATGGTTTGCTAAGCAATGTTTTGATCATTGTTGTTTACATACCTTCATTCTATGAATGCCAGTTTAGCATCAGATACACGTCAATTTGATTTGCCTTGGAAGCTCAGAGTATTACAACACCAGTTAATTAAAGGATTTAGATTATTAAATTTGTTTATGTGAATCTTGAAATATATTCCTACTTTCAATTGTATTCTTAAATATACATTTCATATTTACAAAGATCATATAGCATGGAAACAGCCCACTTAGCCAACCCAGTCTATGTAAAATATTTTAAAAATCACCAGCGTCTCCAACCTGTTATTTCTCTAGTCAAGAGGATATCATATAATATTATCAGCTTCCTTGCTGTTCCTTCAGCAATTTGGGTATCATTAGCTTCTCTACTGGTTTTATTTATTGCACTTACATTTCTCGGATCTGCATTTGCAGGGACTACAGAAGTTTACCCCAAGAAGCAAAACCTGATATCAATAATAAACTCAATAAATTCAACTCAACTTCAAGCCCAAAACAAAGTACTGCAGATAATGGAAATCTGAAAACAAAAGGCACTGGGCACCCATCCAATCCCCCCTTTGTTCTGCATCATTAACACTTCTTTAATCCATCATACCGTGTCCTCCACCTTATTTTCTCCTTCGTCTTCCTTGCCCTGCCTCCCCTCTCTATTTGCCCCTTAAAGCCTCTCCCTCCCAACATGTCCCAGTTCTGACGAAGGGGCGTGGACCCAAAACGTTGACTCACTTTCCTTTCTCCATAGATGTTACCTGACCTGCTGAGTGTTCCCAGCGACTTTTGTTTTTGTTTTCAACTTCAAGCCATTCACCTCCTCCAACTACCCAACATTGCCCATCTCCACCATTCTCTTACCCCACACACAGGTGAAGCCCACATCCCATCACCTACAGTTTCAACTTTTCCAATGCTTTGCTTGCTGACCTCCACAGCTCTACCCTCCACACGCTCCAGATCAGCCAGAACACCACATCTTCAAACTACTTTTCAAACCCACCTGGTATGCTAAAACACTTAACTAATGTCTTCAGCCCTGGCCACAGTCCTTACTCACCAATGACTAATGACAAATGACTAATGTGATCCAGGCAACTGTTATCCAGGGCACCAAGAGAAACTTTCTTCTCTTTTCAAATAGTATCATGGGATCATTAACATTATTATTAACATCCACTTCGAACTGGTAGACGGGACCTCAGTTTAATGTCTTAACCAAAGGGCAGCACTTCCAACAACACAGTGCTCCCCCAGCACAGCACTGGGGAGTCAGCCTGAACTGTGTGAGCTCAAAGCCAAGACCCGATGGCGGGGGGGGGGGGAGAGCTTTGACCCACAACCTTCTCATTGGAAGGGAATCTCAGTACCTATTCTTTCTGACGGGTACTGTGAGAAATTGTTCATTTGACCGACTATCTTACCTCAGCCTGAGGTAGCGCACATCAGCCTTTTTAAACGTCTCTGCACCAGAGACCGGACGCCCAGGTCACCGGCACGTTTGTCTGGGCAGCAATCGAGGGCGGGGCAGTTTTATATAAACCAGCCAATGGGAAGGCGTCCTTTTTCATCAGCTGATCCAGGGGCGGGTTGTTCGGGGGAGGGGCGGGTGCCAATCAGAGAAGCGCTGCGGAGATGCAGGGGAGGCGCGCGTGCGACGGTTGGACAGGTCGAGCTCGAGCTGTGGCGCGCGGAGGGCGGTTGGTCAGCTGCACTGCCTGACTGATTGGCGCACGCACGAGCGCGCGCAAGTAGTGGGCGGAGGGGAAAGCGCGTGCTGGGCTATGGCAGCACCAAGGTTAGCGTGAGAGACGGAGGGTCGCCGAAAGACGCGAGTCAGCGAGGGGAGTGGGTATGGCCAGCATGGAAGCGCCCAGCCTCCCTGCCGACGTGAGGCTCAAACTTGCCGAGCTCGAACTCGAGCTCTCCGAAGGTAAGAAGGAGTGGGAAACGGGGAGGAGGAGGGGCGGGGGAAGGAGACCGGGAGATGCCCAGTTTTGTGTGGCCGACACCCGGCGTCGCGAGCTTCCGCGAGACGGAGAGGAAATCGGTGCAAACCGAGTATAAAAGCAGCTGATTCAGTGGGAGAGGGTATGTCCCACTGGCCCGTCTCGGCTCGTTTTCTCTTGTATTCCTACGTGTGTTTAACGCCGGGGAAGCGGGTGCCTAAAGGACATGTCGAGATGGAGGAGGAAGGAGGAGCAGAGGAAGGGGAATGACAAGTTGCGATACGCGTATGCGTTGGGGAAGCAACTTGCGTGCGGGGTAAGTGTGCAATTGGTGTTGAGTTTTAATGAAGACGGGCGGCTTTCCCTGCCAGATACCGGGCTTCCCTCATTTAGCTTCCGACAAGTGTTCGGTTACTGAACGTGTGACAACACTCAGGAGGTTCCCTGCCTCAAACGTGGGTTTGTTCGTATCAAATGATGTTGTGACCTACCCAAGTTATGTCCATAAATGCAACATGTGTCATTATGATGGAATGAGTGTTAAAAGGACGGCATAAGATGGCAATTGATGTTAAATGTCCAGTTATTTTGCCTTTGCGGGCAGTAAGTTCCAAAATAGAATGTAAATTGGTCTCTTATATAGCTGTCTATAAAATAATGGGAATTATTCAATGTAGTTTCATACCATTTTATACATCACAACCTCTGCTGGTATCTATATCAGTCAAAAACAATTGCATGGAAAAATCTGAAAAGCTGTCGGTATGAATTTTCAGATTTTATACAGCAACTTGCATTTATACAGCACCTTCCACGCCCTGAAGATGGGGAAAGAGGGTTGAGGGAGGGAGTTCCAAAATTTCGAGGCATAGTGGCTGAAGGCACGGCCACCAATGGTGGAGCAGAGCATTCGGGGGATATGGAGGAGACTGGACCCAATAGAGTGGAGGCAGTGGGTACTGCTGTGAGGAGAGAGTAAGTTAGAGTGATAGGAAGGTGCCAAGGAATGGAGGGATTTAAACACTATAGTGAGGATCGTGAAGTCAGTCTGCTCTGTGACAGCGAAGCAGTAGAATTTGGCAAGGACTGAAGTAATCGATTTATGAAGTTTGGTGCGGGTGAGAATGCAGGAGGTGGAGTTTTGAATGAGCTGAATTTTGTGAATAGTGGAGATGAGGAGACCGGCAAGTAGGGCGTTAGAGTAGTCTGTCCGAGAGGTGACAAAGGCATGGACAAGGGTTTCGGCAGCTTTTGGGGCAGTATTGTTGGAGACAGGCAATGTGGCGGAGGTGGAAGAAAGGATAACTGGCGATCCAACCTGACACCTAAGTTGCATACTAAGTATACCTTACCTTGCAGAATGCTTAAGATCAAATACATTATAAGATTAAATTCGGGTCGGGAGGATGTCCCAAGGCACTGGACAGTCAGGGATTTGGACCGGGGCAGGGAGCAGGATAGGAGGGTGGCTGAAGGCACTGTTGAAAAGGAGGATCTTAAGATGTGCCTTGAAGGAGGCAAGGAAATGGAGTTCCAAAGGGTGAGGGCAGAGAGGCGGATGGTGGGGTGGGCCGAGCGGGGAACACAGAGCAGGCTGGAGTCTGCTGAGCAGAGGGACTGGCTCAATGAGATAGATGGATGGTGCGAGTGCCTGAGGTGTAGAGTCGCTGATGTGGAGCTAATCAGGAGAATCTCAGTCTTGTTGACGTTCAACTTTAGAAAGTTAGCTCTCATCCAGAACTTCATGTCTGACAGACATTCTGTCAGGATAGCAGCGATCCTGGAGTTGAGGGTGGAGGCAGAAGGATAGAGTTGGGTGTCATCCGCACACATGTGGAAGTTGACCCCATGTCTGTGGATGATGTCACCAAGAGTGGATCCCCTTGATTTTGGTCTCAAGGAAATCCAGCATCTCCTCACAGTTGGAATTAGAAGGGAGGATAGGTGAGGTGTGAGAGAATAGGTAGAGGAGCCAAATATTGTTTCAATCATGTTTTCTGTGATCTGATTCAAGCAAGAATAAAATCCCTGTTAAATGGCCATGACCGAATTTCCTTATCTGTGAAGAGCTTTTAGAAGTTTTGAAATAATAAGATGAATTAAAATTGCAGTTTTTCCACCTGAGACCATCAATTGCTGTAAGAAAAGAGACACATTCAGTGCAAACTTGCTCTTTGTAATAGAACAATGGACACAGGAGAATGAGTTAAATAAGCTTAATAAACGATTTGGCAGCTATTCAAGCAGCAGTTTGACACTGAACCAAACTGAATGATCTGATTTCTCACCCTTCCAACCCCCGCCCCACCCCCCCAAGACTTGATTACTGACTTAAAATCATTGACTGTTGTTTTTAATACTTCTATACCAAAAAGGAATAAAACCTGATCAGTTGTTATGTTTTGTGCTGTCATGAATAAACAAATGTGAAAACTTTATTTAATAAAAAATGAATGGTCTACCAGTTTGAATGAGGCATTCATGGAGGCAAACTACCGCTCAATGGACTGTAGTCCTGGAGGCTACCCCAAAGTGACTTTATGTGCCATTTTGGGATGCCATAGGTTTGCTATTACTGTCATAGTATGATTTTCTTAATGCAGGCACAGTTTACTGTGTTTTCAGTTTGACTGTATTGTCCAGTGCCTTGGGACATCCTCCTGACATACTATAATCCTTGCATTTGACATAGCGCTTTTCACATCTTCTAGATGTCTCAAAGTGCTTCACAGAATATGCTGTAAAGTGAATTGACTGTATATTTGTGGGCGAAACATGAAATGTGCTATACAAATGTAATTTTGTTGTTGGTTGGAAACCTCTGTTGTTTAATGTGACTATTGACTGCATGGGTTGTGGTGACATTGGTGGATTGATGGGTACACTGCAAATGATGCAGATATATTGAGAATCAATTTGTTAAGTGGAAATTGTTTATGTAGATATCATCATAAATGTATTGCTCTTTGCTTTAGTTAACCATGACACTAATTGTTTGAAGGCGACATAACTTCCAACTAGTGGGACTATTTCTTGATGGATGAGTTGCTGGACGGGGCGATGGTCCTGCCGACAATGTCACCCAATTTGTGTTAAGTTATGCGGCTCACCAAAAGGCTTGCACCGAGTTCCTGGTACCTGCTATCCACTGTAGACTTAGTGAGAGCTCAAACCTATGCTTATTGGATGTCTAATGCCCAACTAGTGACTATCCTGGAGGTGAGGTAGGTAGGTTTCCTTAGGGCTCAGATGGCTCCATGTTGTGACATGCCTGGCAATGGAATATCGAAATCAAGTTGATACTTTGTGGTGGTCTCATTCATTTAATTTCTGAGCCACGTGGGCCGCTAGTGCTCCATGACACTGTTGATCACATACTATCCAGTCCTGATGTGTCGTAAGGTCTTAGAGAGACAGACCTGCAAGAATTCTTCCTGCTTGGCTCCTGTTAACCTTCAAGCAAAAACCATAACCGATAGTTTGGTTATAGCTAGAAAAGCAATTGTAAGCTTGTCAGACAATGTTCACAGAACCATGATACGTGAGTTTAGCTGGTTACACTTTTAATTCATGCTGTGGGGCCTTGACAACCAACTTATTCCACCTGGGAATCAAATGTTGAGGAGCACCTTGGTCACTGATTGCTCATATGAAGGATTTGAGTGGAGTCAAACAGATTGATCTATTCAATATTTTTTGTGGGGTTGAACACCTGGCTGACACATGCAGTAACTCATTTCCATGCTTAAGATTTTCCACAGCAGACGAAGTTCAATGCATGCTACCTACACATGGAAATTCCCGTGTTTGGAATGGAATGCACATCCTGCTTACCTAATTCTGGAGAGTTTTAGACACAGGTTGGCAAGAGCTGAGGCCTGAGCACTCTAGAGTGTGAGTTGATGTACTCCTGAGTTTAACCAGCTAAAACCACATAGCTTGCCTTTGAATGCACTGTCTGGCAAGCTTCCTGTTGTTTGTCCAGCTAGGACTGCCCATTAGGGCTTTAGCTTGCAGGGTTAACAACAGCTGAGTGGGAAGAATCCCTGCCCCAGTTACGCAATATTAATGTAATAACAATAATCTTTGCATTTGATATAGTGCCTTATCACGTCTTCGAGAAGTCTCAACATGTTTCACAGCATATACTGTAAAGTAAATTGACTATGTTTTGTGGCAAAACGCTGTAGCTAATTGTGCACAGCCGTGTCCCGGAAACAGTTGTGGATTGAGTGACCAAATTTTTTTTCTTTTTGAAGGAATTATTAGCCCAGGAAAAGCGATCTGCCAATTGACTAACAACCGGATTACTACTTACTTCTAGGTAAACAGAGGCGTGTGGAATAAGAAAACCTGCCCAACGTTTTGTCTTGCCAGGATTCAAACTTGCGAAGCATGTGTTCTAACCACTGAGCTACAGGATTCCACTTCCCTACCTCTCCAACCTTTTTTCCCCAACCCGGGGCTCTGCTTGACTGGCCCTGGACTCCTGTTTGTCCATCATGCAATCCATTTCACCATTGGCGGCCACACTTTCAGCAACTACGCCCGAATCTCTGGAGTACTCCTCCATCCCTCTGCCTGCCCCCTCCTTCTCCATTTTCAGGTCACGCCTGAAAATCTTCTTCTTCAGCTGTGCCTATGGTCACCTTACCCCGGCTCGGCATCATGCTCCGCCACTGTCAAAAGTTCCGGGATGATACCCTGCGTGAGGGGCGCTATATAAATGTAAATTGTTGTTGGATGTTTTTCTCTCCATAAGCCTTATTCTTATATAGGATATCCTGCACTTGAAATTAATTTGCCATTGAAGTGTTCATTGCACAAGGATGGCTGTTAATTGGGTTACCCATACAGCATTGCTATTGGTTTACCAGTGAGAATTGAATACAGAAATTGAGACAGATATGAATTCCTTCAAGAACCATTCCAAAAAGAATTTTATCAATTCTTGCAATGGTTTCAGTTCATTGGTTTTGATGCC